TTCGTGCAGGCATAAAAGTCCGCAGGGTTTCGATGCGGTGTCGCCAAAGATTCCCAATGATGATGTAGGGAAGATTCACGCAAGATTTTCAGTGGGAGTGATGCAGCATCACGGGGCACTAGTGCATATTTGCTATCTCCAGGGTCCCTGCAAGCACGTATTCCATGATATGAGACGCGTTGAATTGTAAAAAACACCAACGTAGCATGAAACAGAACTTGCGCTTTTATTCCCCTTTGACCTAGCATTGGGCATGTCTCCCAGAATTGGATTGTTTTTGGGATTTGATCTTTGCAAACAGTTGGTGCGAGCACAGCAAGGACCCCCTCACCAAAAGCGGTCCAAGTGCCAGCAAATCAAGGAAGCTGATAATTCCAAAGCAGGATCCTGATGTGCATAGGCTATTTGTTTGTTCATGTTGGCTCCCCGCAAAGAGCCAAACAGGCCAATCAGCTTCAAAAGCGTTGCGTCAATTTGCAGGTATGTGCGTGGTCTGCATGGGGAAGCTTCGGTCAGTGCTCGAGGCATCGTGGTGGTTTACCCAGACCCCCAAATAGATCTAAAAATTAGAACCCCTAGAAGACTATGGGGAATTCTATAGGGAGTATATAGGGGTTAATATGGCTGTATATAAGGGATCTAATTTTTTGATCCCCCCAGGGGTCTGGGTAGGTTTCAGAGCTCAGGCTTGGAGAGCGAATTCAAAAGCAAGTGGAGTCATAAAACGCAGCGTATTTTCAAGGTTTAGGGTTTATAGCGTTTGGGCTTTATAGGGTTTAGGGTTTTATCGCATTTGCTTATACGGTTTGAGGTAGATTATTGGTGCCAAGTTTTTGTTAGGACCGCCCATCATAGGCCTGGACCGTTCTTTTTTTTGTGAAGGTATACCCCTCAAAACAGAGGTCAAAGATTTTCATAGCTCACATGGTTGGGAATCGAAAATATTGGCTTGGCCGGTCTTTCTGCGACGTAGGTTTGTAGCAAAGTGCCCGGCTTGCAACAAGGCTCCTTTGTGGCATGGCTGAACGAAGCCTCCGCAACAGAAGGGTATGGCGTGGGGTCGGCAGCTTCAAGAGACGTGGTCTTGGATCCACAGCCACAGACGAGGATTTGGAGGGTCTTTATGAAGGATCATAGAGGGCCGGTCTTGACACACTCAGTAATCCCCCGTGGTTTGCTTTCAGCATTGTTTTGGTCTTGCAGGTTGCCACGAAAGGTTGGCTGGACGCTTGATGGACACTGAGTGCTCTCCCCATACCTGGGGCCCCATTGGGCTTCTTGAAGCCCATGGTTTTGTGCCTGGATTTGTAGTTCAGTTCACCAAGTTATAGATTTGACAGGAATATATACACAGGGAATACCGTACTTGATTTTCAAATTTGTGTAGATTCCTGCATTTCATTGTGCCAGCCAGGTCCTGTGGCAGTGGCCAGCAGACGCGATTGCGGCAGAAGACGTGGCATTCTCCGAACGCTGCCAAGGAGTGAGCTTGTCCAGCAAGCGGTGTCTACTTGGAGAAAAGAAGTCAACACGCTGGGTTGCTGTTTGGATGATGGGTCTCCACATGAGGGTGACTTAAAGCAAGTTCCCTAACAACAGCCCAGCACAAGGTAGCCAGCTTTGTCAGGGGCTTGGTCATTTTGATACATACCTGTTTGAGGTTTGATGAATCAGAACGGCCTGCTGGTGTGCAGCTGGTGGTGAGGTGCGTTGAAATTCAGCTAAAATGTCGACATTCGTCTTTTGAAGAATGGTCATTCGGGCTCGTAATCCGATACTCTTCTGAGGATCCAACTCTA